AATATGAAAAATTTGAAGGGATATATGAAGAAACACATAACATATCCATCTGAAAACTGAAACTGAAAATACCTGAATAGCTATTTCTTGTTTCACTGAAAACTGGACAATACTATGGATAAGGGTTAGAAATTTAAAGATTCATTGATTATGTAAAAACAGTTTTAATTTTCATACATTAAAATGCAGTTCCGAAAATCTTTATCTGATTTAGATTATTGGGTCAAAATTAGATTAATCATCTATATTGAGGACTTAAAACAATGAAAACCAAAAACATTTTCTTCCCTTTCAATTTTATAATATACGGAAGCCGATAAGGGTCATTCAAAAAAAAAATTATGTCGTAATTACGACATAGTTTGTCGCAATAACGACATCGCTATGTCGTAATTACGACATATTATGTGGAAATAACGACATCTCTATGTCGTTATTACGACATATTATGTGGAAATAACGACATCGCTATGTCGTAATAACGACATATTATGTGGAAATAACGACATCGCTATATCGTAATTACGACATATCATCTATATCATCTATAACAACAACCTTAACATTGCTACTTTGTGAGCATCGAAACACTATGGGAAACAACATTTTCATCTTTATTTTAAGAACTACTTATCAGAATTGAATCAAACTTGATATACGTGTGCACTATAAGGTCCTATTCAAGTGTTATTACTTAGTTACACATTGGTTAAAACACATGACCGCCAAGGGACTTTGAAAAAATCAATGTTCAAAATCTGCTTCTCAAGATCGCTGAAATGACTGAGCTTAAAATTAGTATAAATATACAATGTGTAAATAGTATCCAGGTCCTTAAAAAGAGTTTTTACGTTTTCAGCTGATCCGAAGTTAAAAATGGCCGCCAGTGAGGGCAAAGTTTGTATCAAAACTCTATCGTAAACATATTCATTTTTGAGAATGATAAACACTGAATTTAATCAAGCTTAATTAATATTAAAGTTAGTTACGCTATATGTCTGCACATAATAGAACTTTATTTCATAATCAAGTCTAATGGGACCCATTGAAATGGTGAATGATTCAGGCATGTTGGAGCCTCTATATTTATATTTGGCATTTCTGTAGATCACATCAAGAAGATGTGTTAAGTACCAGAAGGATTATGTGTGCTATTGCAATCGCTTGTCGTCCGTGGTCGTCTGTATTTACCGTTAAATTTTTATTAAAGATTACAAAAATCACAAAATGTTGATAAAAGTTTAGCCGCCGTCGCCGCAAAATCAATTCCTAAAGTTTCGCTATTTATGACGTTCGTCACAGGCGAGGTAAAAATCTGCTATTTCGCTATGTGGTCTTTTTGTATAGTATTATGGAAATAATTGCATACAGTTCGAGATTGCATGTGAGTTACGTAAGCGCTTAACAGTTTTTTTTTTATCCTGTGGTGTTTGTCGTTGATGAAATATGTTCGCTGTTGTTCTGCAGTTTACATGTTTTGCGACTATTACTACACTGTAGTATATTATATGATTGTGCGTTTCTCTGTGGTATATGGTCTTGCGTGTGATGATCTGTATTTCTGTCACGTAGTGTTATCATTTCAGCGCAATTTTTAACATTGTCATAAAACGGGAGGTTTGGCTAGCCATTAAATCAAGTTCAACCCACCATTTGTTCTTAAAATGGCCTGTACCAATTCAGGAATATGACAATTGTTATCAAATAGTTCTTTCTATGTATGATAAGGGTTTATTTTTGTTCACTTTAGTGTTCCTGTTGTTCGTTTATTTTCCTCTTACAGTTGATATGTTTCCCTCGATTTTAGTTTATAATTTGCATCAAGCATCAGTAGGCCATTGTGTACAAATGAAGGTACAGAGGTCCATGGGTCTGAGGACAAGGAGTCCAAAGTTTAACAGTCTTTATTTGGAAAAGCTTAAAATTCATCTTCTTCAGAATCTGCAATGGAAATGCAATCATATTTTACACGAATCTGTACATGCCAAACATAACTAGAAGCCCGAATCGCTCCCCTGTGCAACTGGGTCTCATTTGACTTGATTATAAAATAAAGTTCTAGTATGTGCAAGTAAATAACTTTAATTAAGCTTGATTGCATTTAGTGTTCATTATTCTCCAAAAAAAGATGAATATGTTTACGCTTCAAACTTTGCCCTCACTGACGACCATTTTGAATTTTCCATCGCCTCAAAAAGTGACAACGCTAATGTTGTCGTTATTATGATATAGCGATCAGGAGCCTGTAATTCAGTGGTTGTCGTTTGTTGCTGTGTAACATATTTGTTTTTTTTTCATTTTTTGTACATTAATAAAGCCGTTAGTTTTCTCGTTTGAATTAAATTGTTTAACATTTGTCATTTCGGGGCCTTTTATAGCTGACTATGTGGGGGCTTTTCTCATTTTTGAAGGCATTATGATGACCTATAGTTGTAAATTTCTGTGTCATACAGTCTCTTGGCAATCATAATACATACTATTTTATGTATATATATAGCGATGTCGTTATTACGACATAGCGATGTCGTTATTTCCACATAATATGTCGTAATTACGACATAGCGATGTCGTTATTTCCACATAATATGTCGTTATTACGACAAACTATGTCGTTATTACGACATAAATTTTTTTTTTTGAATGACCCTTATCGGCTTCCGTAATAATAGAATAACCCTAGGTGAAGAAAAACTTCAGGAAAAAAGCATGCTGTAAGGTTGGGTTAGGTGAATAAAAATCAGTACAGGTAGCATCAAGGTAGACTCAACTCTAACAATACCAACTGGTCAATTTAAATGTCCCAATTGTATAGTCAATTTTACAATCTGGTTGAACATTAGGTAAAGGTAAACAGCAACACCCATAGTCAAGTCACCGTAATTTTGTTTTGATCGATTACCTTATACACTGCTGGCTGGAAATTTTGAGACCAATTGGACATCTTTAAGAAAGGAAGTTATAACAAGCATTTTGACAATGTTTTCCGAGAAGAAATGTTTAAAATAAAACAAGGTCTTTTCACTAATCTACAAATGTCAGAATATAGTTTATCTTACACTGAAAAAAAATACATAGTGTAATTTTCTTTTTCAAGTCATAATGGAGATAATTAACAACTACCGTTACTCTTTAAGTCTCTTCCTGAGTCAAATAATAGTTACTTAAACCTGATTCCAAAATATATGGTTTCTATAAACTTTTGAGAATTAAGAATGCTGACTTAACACTGATTCTAACAAGATATAGTTCTAGGTACTTTTACATTAAATTTGTGTGCACAAATGGCTACTTTCGGTTTTCAAAATAGGAAAAGAATATAGAGTATTCATCAATTACACAAAATTAGTACATAAACAGCAAAACACAAAAAACAAAGGAACATCGCTTTTATTGCTGTTCTTCATCTCAAAATCACATTGAAGCCTTTAACATAGGTTTTGTCCGGTTGACCTTTTCAAGGTTAAATGACTTTCTACATAATTCAAAAGATCACAGGGCTTTATCATATACCAGAATGAAGCTAAAGCAAATGTCAAAATCTTTTCTTCAAAGTGACCTTTGACCTTGACCTAAGTTTTAATTAGGAAGAAGCTAATAACAAAACACCGATCACTACTATCAGGAAGCTATTAAACCACGAGTTCCAAATGGTGAAGTTGAAATCATCCCTTCGTAAATTTTACGGACGCCATCACGAGTTGGTTGACCGTTATGGAATAACCGTTTCACAGATGATATCGGATATGTTTCTTATGTCGTAATTACAATCCACTTCCTTTTTCACCACGAATGTGACCTACCGAATTAGACTATTTACCGGATTTTTTTTAATAACATGACCAACACGACGGGTGCCACATGTGGAGCAAGATCTGCTTACCCTTCCGGAGCACCTGAGATCACCCCAAGTTTTTGGTGGGGTTCGTGTTGCCTAGTCTTTAGTTTTCTATGTTGTTTCTTGTGTACCATTATTTTTCTGTTTGTCTTTTTATTTTTTAGCCATGGCGTTGTCAATTTATTTTCGATCTATGAGTTTGACTGTCCCTCTGGTATCTTTCGCCCCTCTACTATATATGGTTAATGAGTTATATCATTATTATGATTATTGTGAATATTCTAGGGGAGAGACTCCTACTTAATGTCATCGTATCCTTCACCAGCATCTTTTAGTTACGACATTTCGAAACAAACGTTTTGGTAGAAATCGTTTTTCATTATTTAGTACAATCCCAAAACAATAGCGGTAACATTACAGTCAAAATAAGAACATTCCAATGACCTCAATTTTTTTTTTGGGATCAAGGACCTCAAAAAAATAAAACATCCTGGTCTTTATCACTGTTTACGAGCAGGAATTAAATTTCACGTAATTGAATACATACTGGGAAATGCATCCCATATGCAGTCAAGGCATGGATAGTAGTTCCATAATTTCGATCTCTAAGTTAATTCCGTAGAGTTTGTGCGCACTACTCCTCGCAGCAGTAAAAGATTATAACTACATTATTTTCCCAAATTGCTCGTAATATTTCAGGATGTCGACAATCAATTTGAAAGTAGCTGTCGCAGACTCCATATGAGAGGTATTCCCCCTTATGTATTTAATATAAGTGATATGTACCTTCTTATATCCCATATTTTTAGCAAAAGTATATCGAAACCACATATTTTTGAATTCAGCGTAAATTAAGCTATTATTTGACCCCAGAATTGAAATTTTAAACCGGATATGATAATTTTCCTATCTAATAATCAGTATTTAAGGCTTTTAATTTGTCTCGCAAGATGTCGCTAAGATATTTGGTATATGATATCAAACATTTTGACTTTGGCTTATAATCGCTTTCCTCAGAAACTGTTTAAGATACCGACATACAATTTTACAAAATTGTTAGTTGCGTCATGTCGTTAAATATGCACATTTGGGGTGGAACGACCTTCAATTGTTGTCTGAATAATGTGATTTTATTGTTTATTAAATTATAACAATGACACTTAACTACCATTATGTCATTATGTCGTAGTTAGTTTATTTGAAACTTATAATATCACTCTTATATATTGCAGAGTTTGCAGTTTAGTATTTCCAACCGTAAACTGTCCTAGTCTGGTTCAAGTTTATAAACTTGCAATTTGTATATTCCGAGGGTATAATGAATTTACGATTGGAACCAACCTACTACCTGACATACTTGAGTTATAACATCCCACTTGTCCAAAGATGTGAAAGGATCTAAGGTTATATGGTATTCTAAAGCATGTTATTATTATGTCGAATTGATAATAGAGGAATATTTGATTTAACTCGAAACTCTAACTAGCAAAGGTAAGACAATACAAGACTGAAATCATCAGTTCAGAAGTTCTTGTGGGTTGTTAGTTCTTACAAATGTTGTTGTTGTTATTAGTTTAAGTAGGCGGCTTACTTAAACAGTAATTGCGCCTTAAATTCATATACATTGTAACATAGATATTATGTATATACACTCATTCCTTTATATATTTTTAGTACTTCATTTTGGCGAGTAATTATATGAAACTGTGAGAAACAGAGTTAAATGTGTTACAATAAAGTATACATATGTATATATATATAAAAAAAATAAAATAAAAATAAAACACACACAAAAAACAAATTGAAAGAAAAAAATGAAACAAAGCAAGAAAAACAAATGACAGTTCCTATTAAAATGTAAACTATTAAAGGGGCACTAGCTGTCAAATTCATGTTCACCGATTTGACTCAAATTCTCATATTTGATTTATAACAAAGTAAAACGTTTATCCAAATTATAAAAAGTCTAAAATAAACAATTTACAGGGTATGGGCTCGATAATATGAAGCTTCGTTTCGTGTGTATTTTAGTCTAGATGGTATCTAATTAACTATCGAGTTGACCTCCGAAGACCTCCGATGGTCATATAAGCGATATAAACATAAATATAGATGTAAATAGAAAGCCAACTCGTCCAATTATATTGTTCTAGGTCTGGTTAATTTCATATTGTAGATTAAAAATATATGTTTATCACGGTTTTTACCTGTATAAGAATGATGTTTTGTGGATCGAATCAATCATTCAAATTATTTACCTTTGTTTCACTTTCAATTTTGACATTATTTTCCTTTAAATAACTTAACACGAACAATTCATGCGTTATCCAGCTCTAGCTAAGGGGTTAAATTGAAGTTCACATGAATACGGATTCAATGAGGACGAATTATTCTATTGCAAGTGATTAATTCATCATCAATGTTTGTTAGCTTAGTTTGACAAGATTGAACCAGACTAGCTGCTAAAAACGAATTACTATTTCACTATTTCACTTTCATTAATGATTGAACAAAACAAATCATATTTTAGATTTTTTATGTACCTCGTAGCTAGTGCCCCTTTAACTGATAAGTATCATAATATTATTCAGAAATTTAATTTGGTTGTTCACCTTTGTGTCGTCTGTGATGAAGCAAATAAATTATATCTTGATAAAACAATAAGGTCCCCTTTTTGAATGATTTTCAAAAGCATAATCAATAAAAATAATATATTTTTTTCAAACAATGCAGCCTAAGGGTGACTGTATTGCGGGAGTACATGGTCTGGGGTAGCTATATTTACCTACCAAACACTTGTTTTAAAAAATTGAATGATATCATTCATCCTGTTCAATCCTGCTTTTCCGAGTATTTTATGTGATTCACTCAAAGCTATAATTGTGACTTTTTTAGAGGATTGCAGGTAAAGCATACAGTTGGCGAGTTCAAGCTTGTTTTCCGATTCAGGATCTCTATCTTTAAATTTTTTAAACACGTGGACATTTCTGCCATCGTCAAGTTCTCGTATGTATATGAATTTCATATCACCCAATTCAACACTTGTCAGTGATATTGTGTTATCATGCTTAATGCATTCAAGAATATATTGCAGCTGAGGTTGTGAAATGTTAGGCATTTTGTTCGTCTTGTTGTAAGTGATTCCATCCGACCCATATACTCCGCAACCCATGCATGCACCATTTGAAATATCAGTTACGCTTTTTGGATAAGCAGCCCAACTGTTAAAAGAATAAATTATTGTTATATAAACTTTGTCATAATGAAAATAACACTTTGTGTGTGTCCGAAACACTTTCAGGTCTAATTTCAACAGGAACGCTAAAGCCCGAACATTGGAAAGCCAAGGATGCATAAATTACATTTATTGTTCATTAAACAGCGAGTAACGAATATTATCTCCACAACTTATATTAATGGATTTAATGCATATATCGTCTAATAATCAGACCTTGTAGGTTGTAGCCTATCTAATTTGTTTTGTATCGCTCTAAAATATAAGTACGTTTTGTTTATCGAAAATATGACCTTATCATTAAACTAGAAAACATAAAATGATTAAGGCATGATAAATGATCAGGTAGGTGATTTTCTTTGGAAGCAGAGCATTTTTTATCCTTTGACAAAGTAATTGTTTATATACTGTTTCATTCGTGTGAAGCGTAAATAGCTTTTCCTCCTTACATATGTTAGTGCACTTTGTATAAAATTCCGTACCAATAATAAATGTTTGACTTTGTCAATGTCTGTAACACTCTAAGGAAAAGTTTTATTAGATCAAGGAATTTTTTTTACGTTTTCTTATAGTTTGAATTTATAATAAAAACTTTGTTAGCACTGTCTTCGTAATACGACATTTTGTTCGACATAAACATAGTTCAAATCCCGTTATAACAAAAGTGCGACGCAACTTATCTAGGTCAAAAAACTTTTTGATTGTCAGGAGGATGGACAGGATCTGTTCCGGCAAGCATAAATTACATGTACCCTCTTTCCGCTACGGCTAGCATGAATTGGGCTTTCAAATTGTATTGTCATTTTTCAAATCCCATTTGTCAGTTATTGTATGCGTCAAACAGAGTAAAACATTAATCTTTAAAGTCATATGCAACTTTAAAATTAAAAAAAGAAGGAATGTTTAATATACTTGTATTTTTGACTATAAAACAAATGAATAAAATATTATAAGTAGATAGTACGTTATAGATTCGTAATAAATGTTTAATGTGCATATAAGACTTAGTTAAGTATATATGCATGCATTGGTTCAATAATTTCTTTAACTTTATAATTAAGAGATTCGTATCAAACGACTTTAAATGTTTAAATTTTGAAATTAGTCTAAGTTGAAAATCGAAGTTGACATTTCAAAATTTATAAGCTGAACGTTTAAATTGAATATCAAATAAACCGAATATTGAAAAGTGATTGTTGAAACAAAGTTTGAATGTTATATCGAATGTTGAAGCGTATTACATCGGTCATATTTTTGTGTGTAATTATCGTACATATATTTGTTTTAGATTAAAGAGTATTGAACCAACTTGGTCCCCTCAGGAAATGGCATTAGAATTGATATAAAAGTTGCAACCTGATCTGGTCAACAACAAGTACTCAATGTACTTCCATTATTTAAGACAAACTAGTTGACTTAGAAATGTAATGATATGCATCTAGGCGAAATGATTTATTTGCGGCCATTGACTTTGTTTTTCTAAAAATAAAATTCTTAATTATATTTGTGATTGAAATTTATTTAGCATGCCGAAATCAGCAAATATCTGGTTGAACGATTCAGAATTAAAAAAAAAAGTAAAGCAAACCTCTCTTTGTTTAAGTCAATTCCCTGTTGTGATTCCTTCATTTCCTGTTCCAGTTCGTCTCCTTTCTGTGGCTTGAGATCAATATTTTGTAATCTAAATAATATATATCATTAGCAGTTTTGCATGGTTAACATATATCACATTTGAAACAGCCCATGAAAAGTTACTCGTAAGTGTCTTATTCTTGACACTTCAGAATCTATTTTCATGATATGCAGGTAGAAAGTTTCAAATCAAGAACGGGATAAAAGAAATCAAAATCCAAGTTAAAAATTAGAACGAAACCTGTAAAATATAAACATTGACTTGTGTATGGATCGGCCAAACAGACGTGTACAAGCAGCGAACAGAAAAAAGTAAAGCTTTTGCTAATTCGATCTTACATGAAACTAAAATTATATCAAGATACAACAACCGCTTAGTCGTCTGTCATGTAGCCCGTAATTCAAATCGCTCAGAAGTTAAGATGGATGGACATGAATTTTGTTTAGTTTATAAATTTAACGTCACAAACTTTTCTATATCTACCGTTGCAACTCAGAACCTTTACATTTTCTTTTTTTTTGGCTTCGAAACTATTTGTTATGGGAGTATCTGGGAACGGTTGTATCAAAAACACATGCGTTTTTCATGTTTTTGTAATTAAATCATTTTGGTACTAGATAATGTTTTCAACTCATGACCATTTCCTTTAATTTGATGAACCTAATCATAATCCTATATTACTTTTTTTCAAATCTCAAATGCCAAAGCTTTAGATTTTTCTTCTTCCGGATTAGACACGAAGAAAAACATACACCAAACTCACTGTATATATTGTAACCGGATGGGATCGTGTTTTTTCGAGTGAATTGATCTGATTTTTCAAGTGTAACCATGTTTTTTTCGTGTGAATATGATGCACAGACACTCATTTTGTTCTGGTAAGAAGTGAAACCAAGCCTTAAAATTAATATAAAAAGTATTTTATTATATGCGAATGTACAAATCAGAAAAAATGAGTTCAATCTATATATCTTTGAATTTACAGAAAGTGTCGCTTTCAAAAGTTGAAATAAGTGGTAACTTGTAACACTTCCACCAAAAAGAAAAGTAAGCATATATTGAAGGATTTATTTTATACTTATGTGTGTATGTCTGTTGTAAACATTGTTTTTAATTTTACAAATTTAAGTAATAAGTTTGCAAGATATACTATCTGCCATCTGTTATGATATTGTAACTATCATATTTATTTAGCTGACCTAATTTGTCTTGTGTGGCCTAAGAATGTTTACATTTGTTTACATTGTGTACAAAATAATACACATTGTGTTACAACTGTGCAGTTTAGAAATCACTAGAACCATCATGGATACTCATGGAATGATTAGAACTTTCTATTTCACTTACATAACGTTTCCAGAATAATCATAACAAAAGATGCGTAATTCAACTCTACCGTTATCTAGAACGTTCCGTAACAAGTATTTAAATGCAGACCCTTAAGTTAGACACAGACATAGATATAGACTTAGACATCGATAAACATCAACATTCTCAGCAGTTGGATTGCCACTTTTATTTACAAACTACATCATACTAGATTGTGACCTATTGGACGTAATATTCTGTGTGGATTCCCGAGAAGATTTCCGGATAAAGAAAAGATAAAAGATTGGACTCATATTTTGACAGTTAAGTTGACATTACTATTTGTGTAATACTTCTTGTAAACGTGTGTATAATAAATATTTTAAATTTTATCATTGATTTGTGTCTTTTGTTGGCTACAATTAAAAATCGATTTTCTGTCGTAACAAAAATTGGGGGCTCGTCCGGAATAACGTAAATATCTCATTGAAAATTTTTAGTATTTTTATTAGAACTAGCCAACAAAATTATACACAATGGCATTTGATGCCGGTAAATTTTTGAAAACGCCAGACCTGGAGGGGTTTGATAATTTAAAGAAAGAGGAATTAGTGTTGCTTGCTAAACATCTGAAATTAGATTTTAGAGTATTTATGAGAAAACAAATTATAAAAAATTTGGTAATAGACAAATTAGTTGTTGCAGAATTTTTAGGTGAAGAGGCTCTTGAACTTAAGGCCGAAAATGTTGACGCTGTCAAATTAAAACAGCTTGAATTAGAACATGTACTCAAAATAAAACAATTGGAAAAAGAGGAAAGGTTAGAGATGGAAAAAAAATTAGACTTTGTATCTAGATTAAAAGAAAAATTGTATACTGCTTGTCAAATTGCTCAGAAAAACTTAAAAAATGTACAGAACAAGATAAAAATATGGTATAATAAAGATGCCAGGGACAGAGTTTTTGAGCCTGGTGATAAGGTACTTGTATTTTTGCCAGTCCCTGGACATCCTTTACCGGCTAAATATTGTGGTCCTTATACAATAGAGAGTAAAATCAATGATTTGAATTATACTGTTAAAACTCCAGGTCGGCGCAAACAAAATAGAGTGTGTCATATTCATATGTTAAAACCATATGTTGAGCGTACTAATGAATATGAGAGTAAACCAGTTGCCACTTTAGCCATGGTTAAATTGGAGAACAATCACGACAAACCAGATGTAATTGAACCACCTTTTAGTTCTAAAACTATGGACCAAACAGTAAGATTGAAAAATTCTAAAATTTTGTCAAATTTAGATTCAAAATTTGCCCATCTGTCTTTTGATCGTAGAGAAAAAATAAAAGCTTTGGTATTTTCTTTTAAAAATCTCTTTCCAGATGTGCCAAACAAAACCACTGCTGTTTGTCATGATGTCGATGTAGGCGATGCTTCTCCAATTAAGCAACATCCTTACCGGCTCAATCCACTCAAACATGAATTTATGAGACAAGAAATTAAAAAGTAAAATCACAACAATACTGAACTCCGAGGAAAATTCAGAAAGGAAAGTCCACAATCAAATGGCAAAATCAAAAAAACAAACACATCAAACGAATGGATAACAACTGTCATATTCCTGACTTGGTACAGGCATTTTCTTATGTAGAAAATGGTGGATTGAACCTGGTTTTATAGCTAGCTAAACCTCTCACTTGTATGACCATCGCATCAAATTCCATTATTTTGACAACGATGCGTGAACAAAACAAACAGACACAATAGGTAAAAATGTCAAAAATAGGGGTACAGCAGTCAACATTGTGTTATCATCTAAATCACTATAAAAACAAACAAATGTAACGAAGAAGCACAAAAAGGCATACATCAAATTTAACATCCTCATTTTGCTTATATTATACGATTTTATTTATCTATGTAAAATCCACCAATAAAGGATGGAAGGTTTTAAGTACTGGCGTAAAATCGCGCGTTTGAAATTCGCACAGGTAGACATAAAATAGTTTTGTCGTTCAAAGTATGAGGGGATACATAAATACAGAGTCACGTAACATGGATATAACAAAAAACAGACTTAACAGTAAAAGTAATATTAATAAATAAAATAAAATAATTGTGTGGTACAAAGTATGACGATATACATAAGTACAGAGTCACGTCAAATGTATATCACAAAAAACAGACTCAACAGTAAAAGTAATATTAATAAATATATGCTTGACAATAATATTATTGAGCCGAGTAACAGTGAATGGAGCTCTCCTTGTCTCCTTGTGCCCAAACCAGATAAAATATTTTGTTTCGTGACTGATTTCAGAAAAGTAAATTAAGTTTCAAAATCCGATTCCTATCCGATTCCAAGGATAGACGATTGTATTGACAAGATTGGTCAAGCAAAATTTGTGAGCAAATTTGATTTGTTGAAAAGTTACTGGCAAGTTCCATTAACACCGAGAGTTCGAGAAATATCAGCTTTTGTAACACCAGATGGCTTATTTCAGTATACTGTCATGCCGTTTGGTATGAAAAGTGCTCCAGCTACATTTCAAAGAATGATCAATAATGTTATAAAAGATTTAGACTGTTGTTATGCTTATATTGATGATCTCATTGTATGTAGTGATAGTTGGGAACAGCATTTAACACATTTATATGATACTTTTGATAGATTGTCACAATCAAATTTGACTGTTAATCTTGGTAAAAGTGAATTTTGTCAGGCCACTGTTGATTATTTAGGGCATACAGTTGGCAAAGGTCAGGTGAAACCTATTACGGCTATAAAGTGGATGCAATTACCAAATTTCCTCCTCCTACAAATAAAAAACAACTTATGAGATATTTAGGCATGATTGGATTTTACAGGAAATTCTGTTCAAATTTTGCTACTGTTGTTCAACCATTGACTCATCTTTTACGGAAAGATTCTAAATTTATCTGGAGTGAAAATTGTCAAAATGCTTTTGAAAATAGCAAATCACTTTTAATTAATAGTCCAGTTCTGGTCACTCCAGACTTTGAAAAACAATTTAAACTTGCCGTTGATGCAAGCTATGTAGGAGTTGGAGCTGTTTTATATCAAGAGACAGATGATAATGTTGAGAAACCTATATCATATTTTTTTCAGAAATTAGATAAACATCAGAAAAAATATTCGACTATTGAAAAAGAGTGTTTTGGACTGTTGTCTGCACTTCAACATTTTGATGTATATTTAAACCCTACTGTGCATCCTATTCTTGTTTATACTGATCATAATCCTCTTACCTTCATACATAAAATGAGAATCAAGAACCAGAGGTTGACTAGGCGGAGATTATTGTTACAGGAATATGATGTTATTATTAAACATATTAAAGGTAAAGATAATATAATAGCAGATGCTTTATCTAGAACTTATTAAAACACTTTGTATATACTATGTATTTTTGTACATATTATTCATGAAAAGTTTTTATTACACTCAAACTTTTTTTAAGGGGGGAGGTGTTATGATATTGTAACTATCATATTTATTTAGCTGACCTAAATTGTTTTGTGTGGCCTAAGAATGTTTACATTTGTTTACATTGTGTACAAAATAATACACATTGTGTTACAACTATGCAGTTTAGAAATCACTAGCACCATCATGGATACTCATGGAATGATTAGATTTTTCTATTTCACTTACATAATTTTTCCAGAATAATCATATACATCAACATTCTCAGCAGTTGGATTGACACTTTTATTTACAAACTACATCATACTAGATTATGACCTATTGGACGTAATATTCTTTTCAAAGAATTCCCGAGATTCCCGAGAAGATTTCCGGGTCAAGAAAAGATAAAGTTAAGTTGACATTACTATTTGTGTAATATTTCTTGTAAACTTGTGTATAATAAATCTTGTTAAATTTTATCATTGATTTGTGTCTTTTGTTTGCTACAATTAAAAGTCGATTTTTCTGTCGTAACACATCACTCTTGTTTAGTGCTAGTTCACCTGTCCGCGGGTCAAATCGAAAACAAGCCTGTGCATACATTTTCTACAGGTCTTGTCTTGAGAAAAACTGTGTACAGGAATATTGATTGATTGATTGGTGATTGCTTTACGCCGTATCAGCAAAAAAAAAGCTGTATCGCGGCGAGAGCTATTTCAAATATTATTACAAGACGTTTTTTTTTTAAATCAGACAAAAAGTCTTTCAATCTACTAAAACTTTAGTTTAAAGCGAAAATGCTTATTTACAAATAATGTACAAGATATATGCTTGACAATAATATTATTGAGCCGAGTAACAGTGAATGGAGCTCTCCTTGTCTCCTTGTGCCCAAACCAGATAAAATATTTTGTTTCGTGACTGATTTCAGAAAAGTAAATTAAGTTTCAAAATCCGATTCCTATCCGATTCCAAGGATAGACGATTGTATTGACAAGATTGGTCAAGCAAAATTTGTGAGCAAATTTGATTTGTTGAAAAGTTACTGGCAAGTTCCATTAACACCGAGAGTTCGAGAAATATCAGCTTTTGTAACACCAGATGGCTTATTTCAGTATACTGTCATGCCGTTTGGTATGAAAAGTGCTCCAGCTACATTTCAAAGAATGATCAATAATGTTATAAAAGATTTAGACTGTTGTTATGCTTATATTGATGATCTCATTGTATGTAGTGATAGTTGGGAACAGCATTTAACACATTTATATGATACTTTTGATAGATTGTCACAATCAAATTTGACTGTTAATCTTGGTAAAAGTGAATTTTGTCAGGCCACTGTTGATTATTTAGGGCATACAGTTGGCAAAGGTCAGGTGAAACCTATTACGGCTATAAAGTGGATGCAATTACCAAATTTCCTCCTCCTACAAATAAAAAACAACTTATGAGATATTTAGGCATGATTGGATTTTACAGGAAATTCTGTTCAAATTTTGCTACTGTTGTTCAACCATTGACTCATCTTTTACGGAAAGATTCTAAATTTATCTGGAGTGAAAATTGTCAAAATGCTTTTGAAAATAGCAAATCACTTTTAATTAATAGTCCAGTTCTGGTCACTCCAGACTTTGAAAAACAATTTAAACTTGCCGTTGATGCAAGCTATGTAGGAGTTGGAGCTGTTTTATATCAAGAGACAGATGATAATGTTGAGAAACCTATATCATATTTTTTTCAGAAATTAGATAAACATCAGAAAAAATATTCGACTATTGAAAAAGAGTGTTTTGGACTGTTGTCTGCACTTCAACATTTTGATGTATATTTAAACCCTACTGTGCATCCTATTCTTGTTTATACTGATCATAATCCTCTTACCTTCATACATAAAATGAGAATCAAGAACCAGAGGTTGACTAGGCGGAGATTATTGTTACAGGAATATGATGTTATTATTAAACATATTAAAGGTAAAGATAATATAATAGCAGATGCTTTATCTAGAACTTATTAAAACACTTTGTATATACTATGTATTTTTGTACATATTATTCATGAAAAGTTTTTATTACACTCAAACTTTTTTTAAGGGGGGAGGTGTTATGATATTGTAACTATCATATTTATTTAGCTGACCTAAATTGTTTTGTGTGGCCTAAGAATGTTTACATTTGTTTACATTGTGTACAAAATAATACACATTGTGTTACAACTATGCAGTTTAGAAATCACTAGCACCATCATGGATACTCATGGAATGATTAGATTTTTCTATTTCACTTACATAATTTTTCCAGAATAATCATATACATCAACATTCTCAGCAGTTGGATTGACACTTTTATTTACAAACTACATCATACTAGATTATGACCTATTGGACGTAATATTCTTTTCAAAGAATTCCCGAGATTCCCGAGAAGATTTCCGGGTCAAGAAAAGATAAAGTTAAGTTGACATTACTATTTGTGTAATATTTCTTGTAAACTTGTGTATAATAAATCTTGTTAAATTTTATCATTGATTTGTGTCTTTTGTTTGCTACAATTAAAAGTCGATTTTTCTGTCGTAACACATCACTCTTGTTTAGTGCTAGTTCACCTGTCCGCGGGTCAAATCGAAAACAAGCCTGTGCATACATTTTCTACAGGTCTTGTCTTGAGAAAAACTGTGTACAGGAATATTGATTGATTGATTGGTGATTGCTTTACGCCGTATCAGCAAAAAAAAAGCTGTATCGCGGCGAGAGCTATTTCAAATATTATTACAAGACGTTTTTTTTTTAAATCAGACAAAAAGTCTTTCAATCTACTAAAACTTTAGTTTAAAGCGAAAATGCTTATTTACAAATAATGTACAAGAACAATCAAGACATGTATATTTTTACTGCCTGTTAAGACCTTGCAAATAATGCAGTCGCATATAATTTAACTTATATCTAGGCCTAAAAATATATAGTTCTATATGAATATATTTTGTGATGTCCCAGTGACATCGGAAATGCAATCTCTCCACCAAGGTGACCAGACTTAATCATTAGATACATTCTAGCAATAAAGAAGGTTATTGCTATTTTAAACCAGCCGACTCACTCTCAAACTACATAAAGTAAATATGCATATGATTTAAAGTTACTAGTAATATTCTTTTCGAGATAACAATTGATTATTGTAACGTTCGTCTGATCAAAGATATCAGGCTTATAATTTGGAAACGTCGTATCTAAAATTCGATTTTTCAATGTAAAAGTGAGATGCATTACATCTATAGTTGATGAATTATCAGTTGGTTTTTTTTCGATGTGTCATCGGTTTATTATGAAGCAAATCCTACTACATGTACAAGAACATTATTTTGAAAAGAAATCATGATGTTACACTCAGAAAGAGGGGAATGTAGTTACCAGGTACCAAATTATCAAAGAATATTTTGGCCAGAGTAAAGCCTAGGGTTAAACAGGACTAACACAACAAATTTAATATATACTCCGCGGGGTCAGAATTTTGTCATTCCATCAGCTGGTTTTGAACAATTGCTTTTGTAACATCTTGGTAGATTATTCGGTGCCATATAAAAATGTTCAGTATTTTGTTTGGGAGATTTATATCACGTGAATTGCCCTTTAAATTAAAAACAAACTCCATTAGTTGAAGGATGAAAGTTACAAACTCATGTTACATCTACGAATTATCAAGTCTTTCCATCTTTGAAACCTTTGTTTTGTTCATATTTTTATAACATTTTGTTTTACAGAGTTCTTAGAAAAATGCTAAGACTGGAATGATAACAAAATGGGAAACATAGAATCTTCATGATTTGAAAAGATTATGACGGAAAACAGAATAGTTTTCTACTTAAAAAATTCGACTTTCAAGGTGTTTCTATATATTTGGACAATTTATTATCGTGCCTTGTATCTGTTTCTGTATTTGAATTTTGTATCTGCATTTTGCACGACTTTTTGTTATTTTATATAGCAATTATAATGAAGTTACGCTTCAAATTTTAAAACAAAAATAACCGAACATTTTCAAAGTTTACACTGTTCATGTGTACACGACGAGTTCTGATATGTTAAGAACTATACAACTGATTTTTATTGTTCACGCCAATGTCCCTGGTGAGGGTGCCGGTTTAAAAAAAGATCATTCAAAAATAGAACTGAATTTGTTTTATAGTCGAGGTAAAATGAGTTAATAAAAAGTTGAAACTGACCTTAATTGAAACTTTGAAGCAATTTGTTCAAGCAGTTCTTCCAGAAATATTTTGATGTTGTATTTTGGGATTTGTTCCATTTGAAAATTTTCGTCAATCATTGCATCGTCCAAATCTTTAATTTCTTTCTGTAAGATATGGAACGAGTGAAGAAAACTTATACCATGAGTTTCTGTCAACAATTTGTTTAAGCGATCATGGACTGCAGTGTGGTCCGTACATATTTTTTTCAATTTTGTTGTGTTTTTGTGTAATGCCTTAATACAAAGTTCCTTTGAATCTTCCACCTGCCAAACTTTAATACTTTGCCTATACTTGATGATATTTATTATTTCCTCTGTCGTTGTCTTCATGTCGGATATAAATGTTTGCGCATCCTTTGTCAGAGTCTGCTGGACCTCAGCTTTTTCGTGAAGTTTTCTAAAAACGCCTTTTTCCTTTGTTTTGACCTCAGCTGCTTTTGTGGTGACATACTCTCGTAAATCCCCTACAACTGCATCAGTGTCAGCCGTGATGTGACCATTATGATCCCCGCTTACACATTTACTGCAAATTAATATTTCGCATTTTTTGCAGTAAAGTATGTACTGTTGTTTATGAATTTTGCATTGTGTTGCTGAAGTGAACGCCGTACGATCTATTCCTTTTGCATCAGTTACAGAATGATTTTTCAGGGATGGAAGTTTGTCATGGGTTGTCCTGCACTGAGAACAGAGGGCTGATGCACATTCTCGACAGAAGTATAATGCAGTATTAACATCACATAAATTGCATTTGATTACAGATGTCTGAGCCATTACGGACAGAACCGATTCCTATTTTACTCCCGAATAATATAAATACTGTGAGTCATACAATAAAGAACAATACACAAAATGTCTACAAAGTAAACTTAAAATGCTATCCAAATTATATATTTACTGAGAGAGGTAACAAGGGTTATATAAAACGATTACGAATTTTTAGTTGTTGTTTTGTTTCACTATGTATAAGGGAAAAGGGTGTGGGCTGGATGTGCATACTACAAAAAATACCATGAGTATATTAGTAAAAAAGATAATAAATATTTAAGGAACACGGGTTTTTAGTTGTCCTTAATCTTGAAAAAAAGAAATACCCATGGAACCTCGTTTCACAAGTGAATGTTTAAACTTGACGACGAGGGTGGATTTTAACGACCTTGACTACCAATGGAGTCTCATGATACATGAAGTTTAAACTTGTGTAACCTGAACTAGTTATATAGTTGATATCAAATAACAACATTTTTTAAAGTTTGGCACGTCATCCATGAACCTGTTAAATCGTAACAATTGAAAACAATTAAATATTCGTGTAAATAAGAATAGGAAGATGTGGTATGATTGCGAATGAGCCAACCATCTTCCAGAGTTCATATAACTAATCATGTTCTCCCAGACTTAAGTTTTAAGTCTTGTTTATGAACAATAACAAATAATGTCCCGGGCCCCCCTTTTGTGGGAAAAAATTGGTTGATCATATAGGGAATCACTGAAGCATGACTGGAGCGCCCCCCCCCCCCCCCCCCCCCTTTGGTGTTCGTCTGATGTGCTTTTCTGGTTTTAACTTTATCAGGACTGCTTAATCCTGAAAAAATTGGAGGTCAAGAGCTATATGACAAAAGGACCCTGAATAAAATAGCAAAAAATATATCGCCCCAGTCCATGAAAACCACTTCATAAATGACGTGCCTCCTTAGCGCTTTTCTTGATTTACCTTCATCAGAAACGGCCAAAAGTAAAAATTTGAAAACCAGGGATGTGTAAAAAGGTAGAAACGTTAGGATGCTACCAATATGAAGTGATTCTGTTCAGCGGTGCCTGAGAAAATTGTGACGAGAATATTTGTTTTACGAATGGACGGACAAGATGAATGCAGTATAACACCCACTCCTAGATTTGGGGAACAAAAACCAGAAATAAAGCATCAAATGAAAAAACTATCTTTTGCTTTGTTTAGATTTTGCAAACTTTTTAACTGATCCAATACTTTAGTAAAGTTTTTATGCAATCTATTAACCGAATACAATACGTGATACTATAAAATGTTTTCGCCATTTATAATAAACAAACTAAATATCATGTGTTTAAGATCAAACACTCATTGAAAATTCTATATGATAACTTCACGAACCTTCAAAATGAGATCAATGGCAAAGGAGTTCTGCCAGACGAACATGTGCACCTTTTTATCATTCTATACACTTCATGAGGTTGACCTATTGCTTATAGTATCTGAGAAACGGATATAATCACGAAGGGTAACGTCAACCAATGAACCATAGAAATAAAAACAAGGTCGGATGAACCCTATCAGACAGCCATGTGCACCTTTCAAACATTCGTTAAGCCGATTATAGTGGACCTATTGCTTAAAGCATCTGGGAAACGAACCCAATTACGAAAACTTAATGCTGACCAGTGAACCCAAAACAAATAAGGTCAGATTCCTGCTGCAGGTATCCCTCGCAGTCGACATTCTGTTGCAGGTATTCACTGCACCCTATAGTTTTATTTATAGTAATAGTTAAAATTTTCTTTTTCTTTGTTGAAGCCAAATTATATCATTCTTTTAATTTATCAACTAAGTTAACATTTTAAGACTTTTATATTTTGTTTACAAATTCAGGGTTCGTATAACGGATACGTATTGTCGTTAACCCACCATTTTTTACATAAGGAAATGCCTGTACCAAGTCAGGAATATGACCGTTGTTTTTCCATTCGTTTGATGTCTTCTTATTTTCATACGAGTCGGAGTTCCTTCAGACACTTGTCAAAAACAACAAGATCAAAGAAGCCAGATCATTTAATTTGACATTTAGATATATTGATGATGTTCTTTCCATTAGCAATCGAAATTTTCTGATTGGGTTCCATTAGTTTATCCTCCAGAACTAGAAATTAAAGAAACAACAAACACGGCTTCCTCTGCCTCATCTTTGGACGTTAAGTTATACCTCAAATTTGACATAAGCGGATATCTCAGTACCAAAATCTATGACAAACGAGACTAACCTTTACTGTTTAGTCCATTTTTGGTAATATACTTTTGGCGTGGCTTGATACTTATACCGGTACATCCCGCCAGTTTGTTATTGTGCTATGGTCAATTTTGTATTCGTGTCTTGCTTTTTTGCTTATATACTTTGTCTATAGAGTGTCTATATGCCATTTTGTTTTTCTTTGTTGAAAAGTCATTTATTTGTATAGTGATTAAGATTATATTACAATGTTGATTGCTGTATCTCAATTTTTGACTTTTTAACCTATTATGTCTGTTTGTGTTGCTCACACATTGTTGTCAATATGATGGAATTCTATGTGACTGACGTATTCGTTTTTATTCTGTAGTTAGTCACCACTTCGGTGTAAACATGTATATCTATTATATAGTCATTTTTATAAATTTACTGTTTGCAAAAGTATTAATTATTCTAAATACTAAGGATTTTCTTATCCCAGGCATATAACCTTAGCCGTATTTGGCACATCTTTTTGGAACTTTTGGTCCTCAATGCTCTTCAACTTTGTACTTGTTTTGGCTTTCGAACTTTTTTGATCTGAGCGTTACTGATGGGTCTTATGTAGACGAAACGCGCGTCTGACGTATCAAATTATAAGCCTGGTACCTTTTGATAGCTATTATTTGTGTGTGTCTCTGTCCTGTATGTTCTCCCATTTATTTGTATTGTAGTCCTGTCATGTAATCTTGTCATTTTTATGTTATATTCAACATTGCCATAAAAGCGGGAGGTTTGGCTAGCCACAAAACCAGGTTCAACCCACCATTTTTTCTTAAAATGTCCTGTACCAAGTCAGGAAAATGGCCATTGTTATATTATAGTTCGTTTCTGTGTGTGTTGCATTTTAGTGTTGTGTTACTGTTGTGTCGTTGTTCTCCTCTTATATTTGATGTGTTTCCCTCAGTTTTAGTTTGTAACCCGGATTTGTTTTTTTCTCAATCGATTTAAGAATTTCGAATAGCGGTATACTACTGTTGTCTTTATTTATTCATACAAGTGAGAGGTTTAGCTAGCTATAAAACCAGGTTTCATCACCAATTTCCTACATAAAGAAATGCCTGTACCAAGTCAGAAATATGACAGTTGTTTTCCATTCGTTTGATGTGTTAGAGCTAAAGGAATTTTCCGTTTTGAATTTCCCTCGGAGTTCGGTAGTTTTGTTATTTCACTCTTGACCATATATTTCATTATTTAGAACTGTGAGTTTTTAATGCTATTGTATCAACTTATAGTCTAAATATATAGAAATAATAGAATCCGAAGCGAATTGATGTATCAAATATTTTTGCTTAATACGTTTTCAAGATAAGATAGTCAACTCAAACAGGCCTGAACATAAAAAGGTGTACTCGACTTTCCATTTGCGATGAAATTATTGCCCAAAATAATGTCGCTGGGGCGGGGGGGGGGGGGGGGGGAGGGGGGGGGGGGGGTACAGATGCAAATTAATGCTTTAACAAGTGCTATCTTTAAAACAGATATCTGACGCATTCAGATGTGAGCATACAGTTAAAACATAACCATGAATTTTTATCAGTTTTTTTTTTATCATAGTTAAAATTTCACGGCAAAAGGCTGTCGATTCTAAAAATTGAGTATGCGCTTTTTTCTAAGGAATTAAAATATATACTGCATGGTACTTAAAGAAGTACCTATAGCTGTGAAATAGATATACACATAAGATATTAAAGATTACAATCTGTAGTGAATAAACAGTTCAGAACCATGAAGAAATGTCAATTTTAACTATATGTCAAGCACAACTTTAACAATTAGAGATAAATACCTATTTCAGTGTGTATATCGGGGACGGACGGACGCCAAATGGAAATGATCCATATAATACAGCTTTTGACAAGTAACTCAATTTGCGATATATATATTTTGACATTCTTTATTTTAAGTATAATATTTTGTATTCTTTGAGATTATTACGCCTTGGAAGTTTTAAACTTCCCTTGCAAGTACACAAAGTAGATCAGATATATTCATAGCTCTCGAGCATTGATAACGTTACTGACCTGGTAGTTCTATAAACCTGTCAGTGATATTTACCTACTCATGTATTAGAAGCTAAGCCTACAAAATCCAATCAATTCGAGTGTTGATAATGACACCTTCTTTACCTGAATTTATTTTTATTTATCTGGATAATTTCATTTTTAAGTTTGATTTTATGTTTTCCTTTTAATGTAGCACATATCTTTTTTTGTTGGTTTTTGTTCATTTCCATCATTTCGTCCAATCAGAGTAAAGATTTGTGAAATCATGCATGCCGTTTCTATAGTTAATTGTCCTTGAAAAAAGGTCACAAACCGAAATTATTACTGACTGCCTCAGTAAAAAGATCAATTTTTTATCTTTCTGTGGATTTTTTATTGGCGGAACTTATGCTTATGCACAAAAATATCCACATGTATTTACACCTACCACAATCGACTGTTTTATGAACATTTGTCTCGAAGCTCCATTCTATAATTTTAGTAAAAACGCGTATATTAAGAGGCATAAAATCCGAAATCATGCAACTACATTAAACTTTTAAAGTTCATAGTCACAGATGTAAACAATCCAAATATACCAACTTGGCCTTTTTTACCTTCCCTAATAAAGATTTCCATTTCTTTTGTTTAATTTAAAGTGGACATCAGCCTGTGATTGCTTAATACAACACGAACAATAATCACAAAGGTGAGTAATTTTCCCGCATATAAAAAAAAATCAAATACGCATCGGTTTGGTCCATTTATTTTATGATTGCAAAACTTTTTTGTTTTGATAAATATATCTATATATTGATATAGGGTTTAATGGTTCATAATGGTTTAGGCTGTGTGAAGGATTATCTTAAAAAAATCAATACTTAACGACTATTCTTTTCAGTGTTTTCCTAAATTATTTTCTTCAACATTTTGAACCAAAAATATTCTGATATGTAACTTATTAACCGTCTATGTGTTCCCCTTGTACACACTACCTTCATAAACGACGCTTCGTCAGTCAACGGTTACTCGACCTAACGCAAGAAAAATCAAGGTCAGCAATTTCAGCATCTCCCGTTATTTTCTCTAGCGGTAATTGACGACTATACTTTATGGTGTTTAGTATGAAAAGGCAGTGGGTTCGCGACGCATTGGAATGTAGCAAATATGTCCAAAATAAATCCAAATTTGAATATTCTATAAAGTCCACTGATTCTAGTCAATCCAACGAACATTCCAAGTTAACGACGCAAGTTCTTAATATACGACTATAAGTCCACCGTTTATAATAATTGTACGGTATTTTGGTCAACAGATAGTAAACTCAAAGTTGATACTCTGACATATACTTATATACCTATATAGAGTTATTTCCTTTAAAACGATATGTTTCAATCTGATGAAACAACTGGAACGATACCAAATTTCAATAAAGTTTGCTTTAAGACATAATACAATGACCTGTGTCAGGTCATTATTTACCCTGATCGAAATGCATACTACAATAACAGTTTTTTATAGCATTTAATTCATTTGATTTAAAAAGTAAAATAACAAAAATACCGAATTCCAAGGAAAATTCAAAACGGAAAGTCCTTAACAAATGGCAAAATCAAAAGCTCAAACACATCAAACGAATGGAAAATAACTATCATATTCCTGTTTTGGTACAGGGCATTTCCTTATGTAGAAAATGGTAATCATGTTGTTATGTTAACTTTGATTTTATTGAAGCATTTTCCATCTGTAATATTCGGTTTAAGGTAGACACAATTATTCCCTCCAGTTATTAGACAAAAACCTTAAAAACATCGTTAACGCACAGTTTAACTTTCGACCAAAATAATGTGAAGTTATGTTAATTTATCAGGGACTTAAAGTGAGATGAAATTAATAATGCAAAACTGTTTTAACGCTTTTAAAACAAGCCAATTTTATCACACATTAAAACTCAATAACTTAAAATATTATAGGTTAACAACGTAATGGAAACCGTACAATTACCTAAACATTTTTTAAATAAACAACCGGGATGATACCAATATTTAATGAAAACATAAAATAATGACCTGTGTAAGATCATTTTGTACCCTGAATAAATTTCAAAGTATAATTTGTTAAAACATTCATTTCATTTGTTTAACATGTAGTGATCATGCGTTGTGGCCAATCTGGGTTTAACTGTATAGTTTTCTATCATTTATACTTTAAAAGGGTTATACATTTCAACAGAAACAATCATCCCCTGCATTCATTAGACTGAAATATCAAAAATAGGGTATAACGCTGAGTTTTATATGTTGAGTATTGTTAATTTATTGTTAATATAAGAAACATCAAGTGAAATAGAAATAATAATACAAAAGTTTTCATAACTTTTGAAACAAGCTTAATAATATCATATTCATATGTAGGAATATTGAAAAAAAATATGAATCTGTTTTGATTTACACGGTATTGGAAATCGTACTATGATAACATTAACGGTACATATTTTACTGCACCAGATGCACGTTTAGACAATTATTGTCTCTTCAGTCATGCTTGAGACCTAAATAAATGAAAATCAAAACCTGATAAAAAATTTGAAGAGCTGATCAAACCAAAAAAAAGGTTCTAAAGTATAGCCAAATTCGGACAAGTAAATCAGAGCTTTGGAAATATTCATATGTAGGAATATTGAAAAAAAGTATAAATCTGTTTTGATTTACACGGTATTGGAAATCGTACTATGATAACATTAACGGTACATATTTTACTGCACCAGATGCACGTCTCGACAACTATTGTCTCTTCAGTCATGCTTGAGACCTAAATAAATGAAAATCAAAACCTGATAAAACATTTGAAGAGCTGATCAAACCAAAAAAAAAAGGTTCTAAAGTATAGCCAAATTCGGACAAGTAAATCAGATCTTTGGAAATATACCTCAATTTTATGAAAGTCAATTTCAATCAAACGGTATCCGTATTTTCATGCCAGAACCGAAGTTTTATGGATGTCTGATTTTTTCGTGTTACCTTTAGGAAAAATAGTATTACATTTTCCTGGCTTTATATTGGCCTTTCGTGTACCCAAGTCAGGTGAAGGAAGTCAACTTAGGAGCGCTGTGGTTGGATGTAAGGGTATAATATATATATTTTTTTTTTTATCTATTTATGAATAACGGCAGTGTGTATATTTACAATATGAATTTATTAACAAATTGAAATATTTTCTTAAGAATTATTGGAAAAGGC